TCTACCCAGAAAGAAGTCCACCCCTGTAGAGTCGCCTCCCCCTGTCAATTCCCTCCCGATGGTGAAAGCCCTACCTCCCATTTCCCTTCGTTTTGTCATATCGATATCAATAGCACCGCTTCCTTAGATAGTGGTCCCGTATCTTGGCCCCTTTCGACCACGTCGTTTTTTTATCAGGGCCAATGGCGTATCTTGCTCAGCATCTGGTGGTGCTGGATCCGGGGGAGGGAGCACCGGATCAAGCTGAGTTGATTCCTTATTTGAGGGAGGGATTGGGTGTGTCGGGAGGAGGGGTTGCGGGGGGAGCCCTTGCTTGGGCTGAGGTTGCAGATTGGTCTTCCACTTGCGGCTGGAATCAGGCAAAGATGACAGTAGCCAGTCTATGCCATGTTTTTGTCCATGACAGCCCTGGCTGTGTTCCGTGTTTGAGCACATCTTCGAGGGAAGCACTTGTGTCCAACAACATTTCGAACAGTTCTATATAGGTGCGGTCCCAGAACATGTCTGTGACGGGCCATATTTGGCCCTCAAATGTGTCATTAGCCACTCTGCCACTGGTACCAGTTTTTGTTCCAGGGGAAGGTGTTGCGGCATTGGTTTTTCTTTTTCTTCTTGTCTTTCTTCTTGCCGCCTCTTCTTCTTCTTCTTCTTCTTCTTCCTCTTCTGTTCTCCTCTTCTTCCTCTTTTGTTCTCCTCTTCTTCCTCCCTGTTTCTTCGTCCGCCATAGCACTTCATCAACAAATCATCATCTTTTTCTTTTTTTTTTGGAATGCTTGATTATGCTTCGGCTCCGTCTGCCATAGCCTGCCTCCTCCCTCCATAGACTCGCTCTCCCATCCTCCCTCATCAGTCTCCCTTCCCCATCCTCCTCCCTCGTTAGACTCCCTCCCTCCATCAGTCTCCCTTCCCCCTCCTCCTCCCTCCATGCGCTCCCTCCCTCCTCCTTCTTTCCTTCATCTTCTTCTTCCTCCTCCTTACTCTCTCCCTCTCTTCTTCATCTTCTTCCCTTCTCCTTCGTCATCTTCTTCTTCCTCCTCTTCTTACTCTCAGTCCTTCTGAGATGCCATAGTCTTCTTGTTCTTCTTCTTTTCTTCTTCTTCGTTAGAGTTCTGCCCCTACCTCCTACGTTCGGTAGAGTTCCGCTCCTACCTCCCCGTACCTCTTGCCATAGTCCCCCCTCCTCCGTCCTTCCTCCCGCCATAGTCCTCCCTCCTTCCTCCTGCCATAGTCCTTCCCCCTTCCTCCTGCCAAAGTCCTCCCTCCTCTCTCCCGCCATAGCCCCCCCCCCCCCCCCCCCCCCCC